CAACCATCTCCCAGTTCATATCTTTAACATCCAGATATTTTTCTGCAGCCTTCACTATTATTTTGATTTTTTCTGTTTTTTTTGTCGTCTGAGCAGTACAATTAATCACTTCCACCATGAAAAGAACAAAATTTGTCTTTTTAACAATTAGTGAGTCTTCATCAATTTTTGGAGATTTCTCTAGAGGTTTGAAATTTGCCGTGTGTTGAACTGTAGGTTTGGGTTTTTCTGACTGAGATGGGATCCTTTTTGCAGCTTCAGCATAAGTTATTCCAAGCTCAAATTTCATTTTTTTTATTTCTTCAGACCTTTTGCTTGCTTCACAGCCGCGATAAGCAGCAGTATGTTCTCCACCACAATTACAGCATTTTATTTTAGCTTCTTTTCCACATTTACCATATTCATGTTCTCCTGCACACCTTCCACACCTCTGTTTCCCTTTACAAACTGCTGCAATGTGTCCGAATTTTTGACATTTGAAACATCTCAATGGTGGTGGATTGTAGATTTTGACATTGTAACTGATGTAACCGATGAATACTTTGCTTGGTAATTGCTCTTCCTCGAATTTAATTAGTACAGATAAACTGTCAGATCTTTCTCCGTTTCTTGTTGTTTTTAACCGTTTTACTTCTTTTACTTTTGCACCGCTTATGTTTTCCAGAATCTCTTTTTCAGAAATTTTCAGAAGAACTCCTCCAATGACTCCCCTGCTGATCTTTTTGTTCTCCATTAGGCTGCACTGAACTCTTATCCCGTCAATTTTGTTAATACGTATTGCTTTGCCTTGCTGGGCGCTGTCTCTGCAGTTAATTAGCAGGTCTCCACTGTACAGAATTCTGGCACCTCTGACTTCTCCAACAAGTTTATTGATGGTTTTTGTTAAGTGAACCGGATTCCAGTTTGTAAAAGAGTCTGCCTGATTAACGACTTTGAATATGACTTTGAATTCATTTTGTTGTGCTGTGGAATGTATGGATTGATCATCACTGGATTGTTCTGAACTAGATTCCCCTTTAACTGATCTCTGTTTTTTCCGCTTTTTCTCATTTTTTGATGCTGCTATCTTCCAACCTTCATTGTCACTATTTCCCTCTTCCATCCCACAAGAATCGCTTCCTGTTTCCTCACTACTCACGGCCCAGGACATTTCTCCACAAGCAGAGCAGCTTCAAAACACGCGCCATGCACCAAACGACCAACGTTCCTCCCACGTGACATTTGTTGCTCAAAACGCCCTCTCAAAGTTATTAATTATTGATTTACCGCCACCTTTTGATACGGAAGTGGATGCAGATGCTTTAAACGTCAAAAGGTGGTTCCGTTATCTATCTCACCTTTAGATGTTGACCTAAGTGAAACTTATTAAAGTGTAAACATTATTGCAATCAATTCAGGTTTTAAAAAAAAGGTTAAAAACTGAAATTTTACTAAAATAAAAATGTAGAAAAGATATGATAACATTGTCTTCTTTTTAAATAAAATAATAATAATAATAAATAAATAAAAATATGAGAACATTGTCAATACCTCAACTTGGTCTAACAAAGATGTCTAAATACTGATCAGTCAGCCTATGTTACATTTATATTATAAGTCTAATTAATTTAGCGTTTTTTTGAGGTCACTGTGGAGGTCTTTAACAAAAATTAATCTCAAATCCAAGCACATTTGTTTGCAAAGACATTAAAAATTCGCAAATGAGAAAATGTAAAGTCTCTGCAAATGGTTTTAATGTCAAAATTAGGTTCAGCTATCTATCTCATGTTAAGAAGCTGACTTAAGTGAAACTTATTCAATTATAAACATTATTTCAATTAATTCAGGTTTAAAAAAAGGTTAAAAACTGAAATTTAACTAAAACAAAAATGTGAAAACATATGACAACATTGTCAATACATCAACTTGGTTTAACAGAGATCTTTAAATACTGATCAGTCAGCCTATGTTACATTTATATTTAGCTATGGGTATTTCTTCACTCATTCAAAAAAGTCTAATTAATTGAGGTTTTTTGAGGTCACTGTGGAGGTCTTTAACAAAATTAATCTCAAATGGATAAAACATTTGCAAATGGGAAAATGTATAATATCTGCAAATGGTTTTAATGTAAAACAAAATAAAATAAAAGTGGGATAAAGTCAGAATTCTGACTTTAATCTCAGAATTCTGTCTTTTTTCCCATATTAAACTGAAATACATTTTTAAAATCAGTTAACTGTTTTATTTCTTCAGTGGCCCTAATCCTCTTCCTCTTGATGTTAAAACCATTTTCAGAGATTTTACATTTTCTCGTTTGTGAATTTGTAATTAGTCTGCAAAGAAATATGCATGGATTTAATTTAGTAATAAGTTAATTTATTTAGATTTAATTTTTAATAAGTTTCACTTAAGTCAGCTCCTAAACGTGAGAGAGATAACTGAACCACAGTTAAATACACAGTTAATACGATGGTAACATTGCTATATAGTATAAAAACAAAACATCATGCTACAGAATGCAATCGTGCAAAAAGCAATAAGCTTTTAGCTACAAACTCAATTTCAGTTCAATTCAGTTTATTTATATATTTCCAATTCACAACATGTCTTCTTGATGCACTTACCAGAGATAATTCAATCAGATACATTTGTAAAAAAAAAAAAAAAAAAAACATTTTTAACTAGGGAAAGACAGCTGATTGCATTGAGTCTTTGACTTGGCAGGGTTTGCTCCTCCTGCATGAGCATGTGGTGACCATAGACTTTCTCTTCCATTTTGTCGTTGACTCTGCACTAATCTCTCAGACCAAGTATTCATGCAGCGACAGTAGAGGGGGGAAAAAAGTCTTTTATCAGGAAGAAACCTCCAGCACAACCAGGCTCAGTGTGAGGGGCCATCTGCTGAGGCTGACTGGGGTTCAAGGAGACAGAAGCTGATATACAAAAGGAACATAGCAGCACTGATGTATAAATATCTAATGTTATATCTATACTAGAAAAGGTAATTGTAAAACTGCTCCATAATATGGAGGTATGCAATATGCATCTTTACATTTCTTTTACTATTATTTTTACTGGTTTCTAAATTAGCTATTTTTATTTAAACGCATTTCCTACTTGATGGCTTCTTCTTTGGTTAGTATTAGATAATCTATCTTATCAAAAAGAGTGAATAAAAAGTTTAAAGAATCTCATTCTTTTCCATTAACTCTTCCCAATTCTCTTTTCTTCTGTCTGGTGATGTGGCAATAAGAATAATTGTCTTCATGCCAAAAGAGAGCCCCACAGATTTTGCTTTCACAATTGGAGCAGTACAGCTATCGCCATAGTGTTCCACTTGATTTATGCATATAAATAGCTTTATTATAATTCATGTAGGGAGTATAACAGATTATATGAACACTGCAATGTAAGTAGAACAGGGAAGGAAAAAAAGGACAAAGGACAAAACATGAAGGAAAGAGGAGATAAAAGGGAGTTAATGATAAAACATCTTCAGTCTGCTTCATCACCTGCAAAGAAATCTAAAAAGAACAGCACACCAATGGATATAGTATAAGAGATACAATAAACTAACACCTTGATACTATCGCTGAAGTATAAGTAATATCATTTATCTGACATGCATGTGGTAGCTGAAGATAAGAATATGGGCTTTCTGTTTGGAAGTGAATCTCTAAGTACCTGGAGCCAAGCACCTGTAGTTGTTTCTGAGAGTGCACTTGTGCATGTAAAGTTTATCCAAAGGAAAAATGCTCAATAGTGGTTGTGAAGAGCCGAAGAGGCGCCCCTCCCAGAGACTTGGTGCTCTGGGGGGGGGACCCAAAACCCCAGACGCCCAAAGGGACCCCTGAGCAAAGGCGGCCAGAAGGGGCCAATCCAGGAACTCTGCCCCCCCCACCAAGGGAAGAGAAGAGACAGCCACAAGGACATGCCTCAATGCCAGAGCCCCCAGGAGCCGTGGGGAAGAGCCCACGGGCTCCGCCAGCAGCCAGCCACCCTGAAGTGGCTCTCTTTCCCCTCTTTCCCATTCTCTAAGAAGTAGCAACAGTCTCAGCAAAGACACCCAGACTTCTAACTAACCAGACTACATGGACCTGCAATTATCAGCATTCTATAATAAATGCATCAGATTGCAATTACACATAAATACTATTAAAATTCTTATTATTATGTGTTATCCTATTAAAATTCTGGCAAATAACTAAAGTTGCTGATCTTAAACTTGTAAGATAAGGCAGTGAATTTAAGACTGAGTTAATAAAGCTGATTAACTCTTTTATCATGGGTTGTTTTTCCTGTGTGCCTCTGTGTTTCCTGGTGATGGATGCAACAAATGGATGGATATTTACTTAGATTTAAGTAGATATTACAGAGCACGGTGTGGTGAATAGTTTTAGATTAATTAATTACACGGATACTGTTAAGAGTATTAATGTTTGTTTCTCGTTAGTAACCAGTGGTATTCAGTTAATTGGTGTGTCACTAAAAAGTTCATTTATTTTAGTTGCTTAGTTCAGTAAAATAAACAAATTATGTAGACTGATGTTTTTAAGTGTTTATTTCTGTTAATATTATGATCAACAAAATAATGATTAAAATGAATACGTCATCATGAGCAGACAATGACCTTCTCTAAGTTTGAGAAAAAATGTATCGACTGAGAAGAAATTTAGGGTTAATTAAAGCTAATTGAAAGTTGTTAATTTTCAAAAGGTGACAGTGGAGCCTCGCGAATTGCTAATTATGACAAATGACTGTTGCATGAGTGTAAATCATTTAGAAACAAGAATGTTTAGCCACTTTACACAGACTTTACATTAATTGTTCTTTTATGCGAGCTGAAAGTACTATAATAACCAGTATTCTAGAAAAGAATGAAAAAATAAATAAATAAAGCTTTATGTTTGTTTACTTTGTTTTATAATATTGTTAGAATCCATTAACTTTGGTTTTTAGCGGATAGTTTAAACAACAGAGTGATCCATCTTTCTCATAGAAGATCTTTGTGCATTACAATGACAGTTCCCTGATTGTTGGAGCGATGTTTTCCTAGTTTTCCTCTGTCGAACCGGCTTCCCTCTTATGAGCTGAAAATACTTCAAATTCCACCCCAAGGAGAGATTACCGACACCGGCTCTTTTTTATTTATGAATTCTGGTCGTGTCTTGGAATATATACGGACCTGTTGGCATACATCAACAGGTTAAACTTTGGAATATGTCCCAAATATTTTTGCTCCGTAAAGTAGCTAGCTAGCTTAAATAACCGTGAATTAACCGTGGAGGTTGCCATGGATATCGGAGGGGAGACGACCGCCGAGGTTCGGACCATTTACGCGGCCGTTTCACATCAACCGGACCCCGAACCGACGAGGCTGGTTTCTTATAAAGTTTACAAGAGGAGGTGGTTTGTGCTGCTGGTGCTTTGTCTGTTGAACTGCTCCAATGGAACGGTGAGTCAGTCATCCAGTGGTTATGGCTTTGGGTTCGTTGGAACCCAGGTTCAATAATCAGTTAAAGAAATCTGATGCTTTGGGAGAAGTAGGGCTGTATGGAAGTCCAGTAGAGCCCATAATAGTTGTGGAACTGGTGGCAATAATATTTCTCAAAAATGATTGTAATGTTAAATACAGAGTATTAGGGCCAGGCTTCTGTTTCGAGAATAAAGTCGAAAAATTACAAGAATAAAGTCATAAAATTACGAAAATAAAGTTGTAACATTACGAGAATAAAGCCGTAAAATTAGGAGAATAAAGTCGTAACATTATGAGAATAAAGCCGTAAAATTAGGAGAATAAAGTCCTAACATTATGAGAATAAAGCCGTAAAATTAGGAGAATATTGTTGTAAGATTAGGAGAATAAAGTCGTAACATTACGAGAATAAAGTGGTAACTTTACAAGAATAAAGTCGTAAAATTATGAAATGAAAGTTGTAACATTACGAGAATAAAGTTGTAAAATTAGGAGAATAAAGTTGTGAAATTAGGAGAATAAAGACGTAACATTATGGAATAAAGTCGTAACATTATGAGAATAAAGTCGTGAAATTAGGAGAATAGAGTCGTAACATTAGGAAAATAAAGTTGTAAAATAAGGAGAATAGAGTCGTAAAATTACAAGAATAAAGTCGTAACATTACGAGAATAAAGTCATGAAATTAGGAGAATAAAGTCATAAAATTATGAGAAAAGAGTCATCAAATTAGGAGAATAAAGTTGTGAAATTAGGAGAATAAAGTCGTAACACTACAAGAATAAAGTCGTAACATTATGAGAATAAAGTCGTAAAATTATGAGAATAAAGTCATAACATTAAGAGAATAAAGTCGGAAAATTAGGAGAATGAAGTCATAACATTATGAGAATAACATTGTGAAATTACGAGAATAAAGATGCAAAATTGTGAGAATAAAATCCAAATATTGCGAGAAAAAAGTCACAATGAGAATAATCATAAAATTACGATTTGATACATGCATACGTTCATTACTGCATTAAACAGCCATACATTGCTGCTTCCTCCATTTGTTATCAATTGTTAATGTTTTGTTTTAATTATTAATACATGTGTCTTTTTTGTTTGAATTGAGACTCGTTTAAATTTTTTTGTAAATGTAGGAAGAAAAAACAACTTTGGCTCTTTGGAAAATTACCCCAAATCAATCAGCAGCACACATTGATCCATTAGACTGATATCAAAAACAATTTCTAATCAAACCGTTTGTAGTTGGAAAAGTTCCTTCCAATGATGGTTTCTAAGCTCCTGTTGTACATTCAGCATAGCGTAGACTTCTTAGTCCATGTTTTGATCTACCTCATTGCCTTTCATTGCAAACTCAACTTCAACTTCAACTTTTTGCTGCTATGTCCCCCTTTGGTTTTTCTGCAGCTTGTTATCAATAATCACAATCTCTAAAGACACATATTTGCTTAATGCTGTCAAACTAATGTTCAGTTCAGTTTATTTATTTAGCGCCAATTCAGAACACACGTCGAGGCACTTTACATTTCAACCAGATCATACAGTCAAATTGAGTCAAAGTTTTCTATCTAAGCTAAACCAGTTGATTGCATCGACTCATTGACTCGAAAGGAATCCCTCACACTAAGCATGCTTGTAGTGACAGTGGAGAGGAAAACCTTCCTTTTAACAGGAAGAAACCTCCAGCAGAACCAGGCTCAGTGTGAGCGGCCATCTACTGAGGCCGACTGGGGTTCAAGGAGACAGAAACAGAGATACAAAAAGCAGCTGTAAAAGGCGGCCCCATCCAGGAAACACACAGGCCTAACCAGTCACCGTCAGTCAGAAACAGGACTACACTGAAAAACAGGCCGATCTCCAACATCTGTAAACAAAGGTGTTGATGGCAGCAGCACATAGCACAGATATGTTTGCTTGTAGAGCACATTTTAGCCACTAGGTATTTAAAGTGTTTTACAGGAAGACAACACAAGAAAGTAAAACACAAAACATTTTAAGAGCAGATAGCAGAAGGGAAGCAGCACATATTTAGAATTGGTAAGACTGATGTCAAAGTAATCAGTATTGGACTTATAAAAACCTGTATCAGTGGACCTGTGGTGCAGAGGTGGATAATCCAGGTCCAGAAAAATAAAGACCCTGCCTTGTTTTTATTCTGTTTTACTTTTTCCACTTTGCCCAAAGTTGCCATTGGTGTCTGAGTTAAGCTGGATGCTGGTCGCTTCTGAGTTTCAACAAAATCCACCTTGAATATAACTAGGGATGCACGATATAATCGGCCCCCTATCGGTTTCGGCCTGTATCGGCCTTAAAACTGAATATCGGACATCGGCCACCTCACCGATATTTAACCCGATATTTGATCAGCTTCTGAGTTTCTAAAGTCTAAAAAAAAAAATAAAAATACTATTTCTTCTTCTTCCTCAAAAACTTCTTTTTTACAGACTTAAAAACTTCTAAAGACGAGGGAAAAAATATTGATACATTAAAATATCACAATATCTTCATATGCTGATATATTGCCATTTAAAAACACCATATCAATCTCTTTTACTAATGAAATATTGCTATATGTCATCGTTATGCTACGAAATTTTGCCATATTTTTATATGTTGATATATTGACGCGGTATCGATCTGTTTTACTAACAAAATCTCACAAGAATTTGCAAAATATCACGAGAGTTTGTAACAGAACGATGAAATTTCACGAGATTTTAAAAAGTGAAATAGATCGATACCGCGTTTTTAAAAATCAATTTGATATCAGCATATGAAAATATATCTGAGTATATTATTTTTCAAAGTGTCAGAAATGGATAACAAAACTGCTATTTTCAATGACTACTTATTTTTGTCCAGCTTTAACATCGGTATCGATATCGGTTATCGGCTACATGAGTTTTAAAATATCGGCATATCGGATATCGGCCAAAATACCAATATCGTGCATCCCTAAATATAACGCTTTGATTGTTTGCTAGGTTGGACCCATTTAACATGGACACGCTTGACATCACATTCCGCAGCTCTGCAAACCCTAGATACAGCAGATCAACACTGTGATCCTTTGTCAGTACAGCGGGAGCTAAAATTTAACACCTTAATTTTAAATAACTGCTTGAAAGTGAAAAACCTTAAAGTTAAAAACAAATTAAATCTAAAATACCAATCAGTTATGGTTTATGTGTCTACATATATCACCATAAGATGTTTAATTAGTACATCTTCTTTTCAGGGCCCATAACAGTGCCCAGGGTATTAGAGGGGCACTGTCTCCTTTTGGCCCTGTCTAGAACCGCCCATGCCGATCATGCTGGATGATACTTCTAAGCCTTTATAGGGCAAGTTAGCGTTTTTGATCACTTGCATACCCCTTACAAATGGAGTACATGGCTGCACATCTTATTTTGGCATTTGACCAATTAGATGAGCCCTTGAATGATGTATTACCCACTGTAAATTAAGTTGGAAAAAAGTTTACAAGTCAAGAAAAAAAGGTAAAAATCTAAAAGTTGAAAAGTTAATAAGCCTAGTTAACAATTATATTTAGGTTGATAAACTAAAAAATGTGCCATTATCAGCATTAATGCCTCTACGGTTATGTTGTACCAAAAAAATGTTCCTATAGAAGCTCTTTAGTTTTTTTCTTAATATATTAGGGCAAGTTGGCGTTTCTTGTTATCACATTGACAATAATTTTATAATAATTTTTTGATTGTTACAAAGGTAATAAGGTCTTGTCTTGGATTCCATTAACATAATAGGCTTGAAATTTTGATTTTCAAAGTATTTCACCGAGTTCCCTATAAAGGGCTAAGAAGCAAAAATGCTGGGAATTGAATTGTAATCTTCTTGAATTGCCAAGTTTGTCTTACAAACGAGAAATTTGACTTTTGTTCCACTTTTCTTTAATTAAATATACTCTTGTAAAATGTTTGAAAAGCAAAATATAATCCTTCTGCTGTCAATATGTTCATGTTAATTGAGTTGAATTGTTGAAATTATGCCTTAAATTATTTTTTAAAATGTGTACTTTTCTGAACTCTGTCCAACCGCTCATTCATCTCTCCCTCTTAGAAGACTTTGATTTGTATTCGACGCTGTTTGTTGTTTCAGGGTTTCAATGAATATCTAAGTATCTCTTCACCTATAAACTCTGCCCTTTTGTTCCACCCGCACAGACAGTGGAGCAGCAAATTCATTGACCTTGTGTGACATGTGGCTCCCTCTAATGTTTGCATAAGTTGATATGACTCCCAGGGGATGTTGTGTTTGTGAAGCTGAGTGTGCCGGGAGGCAAGTGTGCCGCCGTCAGCCACACAATCAGAGCCCCTTCCTCACAAATCAGACGCTCCTCTGGGGTTAGTCCTCTCATTGGGAGCCATTGTTGTGAAACTGGTGGTTTCGCTCACTAAAGAAGCTCAGCTAGAGGACAGGTATTCATGATGTGTTGAATAACAGCTGAAGAGCCAGTTAGACATCAATAAGTGTGACATAAACAGTCCCTGAGGGGTCAAATTTAAACATAGAGCCACTTATCAGATGGGTTCACTTAATGCCCTGATTAAAGATTAGTCTGTATACTGCTGTTTTATTTAGGGTTAGAAGATATCTGCGATATCTCAGAGATTTACCCACCAAACGGGAGAGAGTAAAACGAGCAGGAATATAATACCCTAAACTCTGCTGCTTACTCATGGGGAATCAAAGCAAAAAGGAAAAAGACCTCTGATTTATTTCACCCTGCGGTGGACAAAGGGGACATTGTTTGTCCAAATCTGCTTACAAACTCGTTCTTTGTACCCAGAAAAGAATCATGTAGGCTTCTACTTTGTCGCCCTCACTGTTAACACGCAACTGAAGGCTTCTGTGCAGGGCAACAGCTTGAATCTCTCTTGATTTATTTGGGAATAATGTGAAATAAATGTAATTTTTTGAGATTTTATATGAAAGACCATCGGAAAGTAGTAATTTAGCAGTGGAATAAGGATGATAGAAAAGTTATCAAAAATAAACCATTAGAATCTTTGCATTAAGTTCTTTCAACACCCTTACTCTTGTAGTCCACATTAACCACCTTTGGATATCAGCTCATTAGTAGACTTATAATCAAGAAAGAAGCATCATGACTTAAGTTACATAAATAGTAAGATAAATAAATAAATAAATAAGTAACACAAATACATCCTTTAAATAATTAAGAATTATCCCCCCCTAGTGGTCTGGAGTTTTCCGTTACGTGGTGCATATTTGCAGCTTTTCTGAACTTGCAGTTGTTTTTCTTACATAACTTTCTTTTTGCATATTTTTTTGCGTGTTATAGCATTTTTTATGTCTTTGCTGCAGGTTTCATGTTTGCAGCTTGTTTTCACTTTGCTGCTCTCTATTCTTTGTTGTTTGCAGCATTTTAGTGTCATTCTTCAGTTTGCTGAACCTTTTTTATTTGTTTCCTGTTAAAATTCTCGTTAATCTGGGTCAAAATAGGCTTGAATGAATAGGAGAGTTTTTTGCTCATCTTTTTGAAGACATTTCAACTGCTTAAAGGTAGAGTGGAGGATGTTTTGATGTTCCCCCTTGCCAAAACTCACCCCTATTTATCCGGCATGATTAGTCTTTAAAAGTGATAGCTAAATCCAACCGACAGTTTCTGGTGTAATAAACATGGAAATAACAAAACCATAGGAGAGAATTACACAGTGCCATTTTTGTTTAGTTTTTTTATGGAAAGGGGAGAAAGTGGTTGAATTAATGTTGACAGAGGATGAAGTGGGAAGGCTTCATTAGATCAACTTTTGTTTAGTTTCATGCCATTAAATATAGTTTTAATTTAGTAAAATTTACTTTGAAACCAATACATCAAGTTTTAAATGTTGCCTATTCAGATGCATTCTGGGCAATTGATACTGACCTTTATTGATTATACATTGGAGAAATTTACCTCTGCATTGAACCCATCTCCTTGGGGAGCAGTGGGCTGCCATCGTGGGGTGTCCGGGGAGCAGTGTGGGGTTAAGAGTCTTTGCTCAGAGAACCAGAGTGGCAGTCTGTGGGAGTGGGGCTCGAACCCAGGAACCCAGGATTCCAATCTCTATGCCCTAACCACTAGGCCGCCACTCCTCCACATTCTGTTTCTTTTGACACACGTTTCTGCTCATACATGTTTAGATTTAGAAGTCATTTTAGTTTTATTTAATTGTATTATATTAGTCATCTGTTATCATTTCGCCTTATTTCTTTCTAGATATGGCTTACCTTTGCACCAATTGCGGACCAGTCAGCCCAGTACCTAAAGGTCACTCTGGACGATATCAACTGGTTGTCAGTGGTGTTTATGGTGGTAGCCATACCGCTCAGCTTTGGGACCACGTGGATGTTGGATACCCTGGGCTTACGGATCACGGTGCATACTGCATTCTTTCTTCTTTTCTTTACTGAAGCAAAATGTCTTTATTCTGGTGTTTACCTTGTATCAGCCCAGGTATTTGGACATAGGGTTGTTTTGTTTGAACTTCAGAACAAAGATTAAAAAATCAGGAAGTGAAAGTAAGAATATGTTACATTTTTTATATTTAAACCAAAGCACATTTGAATTAAATGATAAAAAATATGTTTTTTCTTAATTCTTTGAACAAAATCTTCATAAAGGTCCCATAATCAAATTTTTGTAATTTTTCTGTCAGAAAGGGGAAAATGAATGATCCTATATTGAGTATTTTGTGGCCTCTGCTGTTTTTGTCAAACCTGTGGATCTGATGCAGTCTATATCATTTCACACTGACACCACAGCTGATCCTGGGATCCTGGCTCAACATGCTTGGAGCTCTGCTGCGCTTCCTTGGCACGCTGCCATGGGTTGGGTATAAATTCCAGTTCCCAACAGTGATGCTGGGTCAGACCCTCGGTGCCCTCGCCCAGCCTCTCATCATCTTCGCCCCGACCAAACTGGCTGCTCTCTGGTTCCCCGACTGTCAACGAGCCACAGCTAACATGATCGCCTCCATGGGTAACTGACTCTTATCTATACACTGACAAAATACATTTTTTACTCATCTCTAATTTAAAAGTGTAGAATAATACCAGAATATCTGACTGTTAAAGCTTCCCAGCAAAAGATGTTACCATCCTTATAGCAGCTGTAGATGTGACTCATTAAAAAATACTAAAACTTGAGAAGACAAGCGTTAGCATGGTTGTTTCATAGCAATAACCACTTATGTAAAAGTAAATACTTATTTTAACAGTCTGTCTGGTTACCTTGGAAACAAGAGGATAAACTTTTTAAGAAACTAGGAAAACTTCGACAAAATAAGTTGAGGGAATGTTTTAGATTTAAAGATTGGTATCAAAAACATAATGTGTTTTAGCTCTAAAGGTGTGTTCACACCAAATGTGAACATGGCAAGTAGAGCGAGTGATTTACATATTATCTCTATCTAAAGGCATATTCAAGAGCGCATTAGCGATCAGCGATGCAAAGGGCTTTTTTTGATAGTATTCAAAATCAGAAATTTTTCTGTCAATTTGGGTCATGTAATTCATCAGGGACTGGATTTAATTGTGATGTCGGGTGAAGGAGCGCGTCAAAATCTCACTGCAGGTGTATCTGTCCCCCTGCTGTGGTACAGCACAGAGCTAGAAGCTGCAGCTCTTAGTAGCTAAACAGGATCTGATGGACCCAGGGGAGGCCTGCTTCAATGCTATATTTGTTATTAAAAATTTTTTATTAAACAAACAGTATACAAAGCCTTCCGTATTGCCGTATATAAGTCCGTATTGCTGGCAGTAAGTCGGACTCGTTTCCAGTGAGGGTTGGACTCCAAGGTTGCCCTTTGTCACCGATTCTGTTCATAACTTATATGGACAGAATTTCTAGGTGCAGCCAAGGTGTTGAGTGGATCTGTTTTGGTGGCCTTAGGATCACATCTCTGTTATTCGCGGATGACATGGTTCTATTGGCTCCATCAGGGTGTGATCTACAACTCTCACTGGAGCGGTTCACAGCCGAGTGTGAAGCGGCCAGGATGAGGATCAGTGCCTCCAATTTAAAGACCATGGTCTTGAGGCGGTTGGGGAGGATGAACTGCCCCTAGTGGAGGAGTTTAAGTATCTTGGGGTATTGAATGAGGGGAAGATGGAGCTGGAGATCGACAGACGGATTGGTACACCATCTGCTGTGAAGCATGCACTGTACCGGTCAGTTGTGGTGGAGAGAACTGAGCCAAAAGGCAAAGCTCTCGATTTGCGGTCGATCCACGTTTCTACTCTCATCTATGGTCATGAGCTTTGGGTCATGACCGAAAGAACGAGATCCCAGATAGAAATGGCCGAAATGAGTTTTCTCCGCAGTAGGGATGGGACGATTTATGAAAACCGTCAGAATCGTTCGGTTCGACTGTCTCGGTTCGATTCGCGTGTGTTTCGTTCGGTTCATGCGCTGCTCCTTTTTCTCATAGAGGAAGCGTTTACACTCCAGAGCAGAAGGTGGCAGTGCTGCGACCAAAGCCAACCGCCAGTAGTAAACAAGAAGAAGAAGAAGCGAAGCAGCTTAGTCGGGTGTAGCAGGGAAAAAAAATCAGTTGTTGCGGAGAACTGTGTCGGACTGGCGAGCGGGAAAGAACAGGAGTTTGAAGACGCGCCAGCAGCACTTTATAGGTCTGCTGTATGGGACCGCTTTGCATTTAGAGTGAACTACGATGACGGCGGAAAGAAAGTTGTGGATAAAAGTGCAACAGTGTGCAAGCATTGTGCAACACGTTTTGTTTATGCTAACAGCAACATGTCATGCTAACCCCGAAATCCCTCATACTCCGTCAGTAACCCCCGCTCCGCCCCGCTGCGCTCCAGACTGGCTGCTCAAAGCAAAGCCTACAGCCTCCACTGTGGCTCCCTCCGTCTGCTCCCCTCTGAGTACCTTGGAGATGGTAGAGAGCATGTGAGAGATGATTAAATTCAAAGCAGCAAAACATACGGAAATGATCCAGGGTTTCTGCGGATCATTTAAAATAATTACAATCCATTATTTTTGGGGGGATTTTTTCATTAATTTCATAAATTTTTATGGGATTTCGGTGTAACAATCAACATGTATCGAATCGAACCGAAAACCGTGACCAGAAACCGTGAATCGAACCGAACCGTGGATTTTGTGAACCGTTCCACCCCTACTCCGCAGTGTGTCTGGGCTCTCCATTAGAGATAGAGTGAGAAGCTCAGTTATCCGGGGAGGACTCAGAGTAGAGCCGCTGCTCCTCCATGTAGAGAGGAGCCACTTTAAGTGGCTCAAGTAATCTGGTTAGGATGCCTCCTGGACACCTCCCTGGTGAGGTGTTTGTTCCACCAGGAGGAGACCCAGAGGGAGACCCAGGACACGCTGGAGGGCAGAGCATGTGAGGGGAGCGTGGAGCAAGTGTTGGAGAGGAGAGTAAGAAATATGGTGGAGCGCAGAGAGGTTTTCAGTTCAAAGGCCGGAGCGAGGATTTCGCTCCGCTCCAGTTCGCTCCGACTAAATTCATGTTTGACTTAAAACTTAGGCCGATGCCTATGCTGTAGTCTGTGCCTAAAATCTGTTATAGTCTATCTTTCAACTTAACCACGTAATCCTCATGACAAGGATTGCATATTGTGTGATAAAAAGTGGGATAAAATATCATAAAAACATAAACTAACTATACTTAACAATACAGAGTGGGTATACATAAAGTAATCGTTGTGGTAAGAGCCTGTTTTTGGGAATGGATCGCATACATGCATTATACGCGATCATCTCATTTGCCATTGGATGCAAAGTAACTTTTTTTAATGTAGTCTAGAAAAATACATTTACCGTATATTAAATAGGGGCAACATGAATGGAGCGAGGTGTTACGTTCACAGCTGGGAAACAGTGCGATAATTTAACAGCCAGTTAAATAAGACAATACACACGCATCGGTCACATCATTAAATCAAACGCCGTGTGTGCCAGGGCCCTGGCATAATTACAGGCAGGAAAAATGTCAGAAAATGCCTTCTCCTGAAAATTTGAGCAAGCGTGGAGTGATTTTGCCGGAGGGCCAGGAAAATTAAGGTGCGGATTTTGAGAGGAGCGTCCTGGGTTAACTTTGAGAGCGGGAGAGAATGATCAAACATCCTCCTGTGCGGGGAGGATGAGTTCAAGTCCGCTCCGTTCACATGCTCTCCTGGAGAGACATGTTTCTCAGCTGGCTTTGGAACGCCGGAGGATCTGGCCCGGGTGGGTGGGTGGCTGGGTGGATGGATGGATGGATGGATGGATGGATGGATGGATGGATGGATGGATGGATGGATGGATGGATGGATGGATTGATTGATTGATTGATTGATTGATTGATTGATTGATTGATTGATTGATTGATTCATTGATTCATTGATTCATTGATTCATTCATTCATTCATTCATTCATTCATTCATTCATTCATTCATTCATTCATTCTAAAGTATTTTGGGGAAATAGTGACCTTAAAGATAACTCCTCCACACAGTAATTCCAGTAACTGGCACACTCATGCTCGCTGGTTTTGGTTGTAAATTGTCTGTCAGCTGGTTGTGAGTTCCGCTAATGCTAATCAAACATTTAACGTTTCTGTTTTGACTTCTACTGCTGGTATCTATTTAAACTTTCTATTTACTTTTATTAGAAACTATTTTAAAACAATCTGTGTAATGTTTTTAGTCTGAAAATTTTCTGCTTGGCTCTTTAAAAAAAAAAAAAAAATTCTTCCAATGTTTCCCTTGAGACAATTGTCCTTATAATGGTTTGAAGCACTGTCAGTAACCGTTATGTCGTGCGTTTATTTTAGCAGGCACTGAGACCTGAGGTGGGAAACACAGCTGTTCTATCTCTAAACCACCAAACAAAACCACCCCTCCATAATAATTGATGTGACTTCTTGGTTCTACTTCACTTTTTCAGGGAAATGCAGTCAATAGTTGGAAACCATTTTCTTAAAAAGTCTGTTATGATAAGTACAAGCTCCCTTTTTAGCCATCAGTGGAGTTTTTATTTTCATGTATTTAAAAACGATAAACTCTTTTTTTCACTCATACAAGTGAGTTTTTTTTTTTTATTTTATAGAAGTGTCACCTCTAATCTTTGTCAGATTTCTTCTAGGTGAGCTGTCACCCTTGAAAAAGGGAACTGGGGCAGTTTCAAACTTGTGATGAAAACATTTCCAGAAAGTCAAATACCTCATATTCTACCAAATAAGAATGACAGAAAACCTGTTAGGTGTTATAATAGCATATCTTCAGATATCACCAGCAGACATTAAAAACATGGCTGTTAAGGAAGAGATTTATTTCTCACAGATACAGTGGTATTATTTTAGCACTTCAGACACCCGAAACAGGGAACAGAAACTGGAGAACTGGCTGTTGGGCAGAAAACAGAATAAATCTCAATTATTTCTGCTTCCATTCTTCAGCCAATCCCTTGGGCATCCTGCTCGCCAACATTATTTCTCCCGTGGTCGTTAAAACCTTGGCTCAAGTCCCAAAACTGGTAAGTTTGAGTCATCAAACAACAATTTCTATTTCCTTTTAGTTAAGGAAGATAATTGAGACTTTCATGTTTAGCAGTATTCTCCTCATTTTATTAGAAACTCAAGCTGACATTATGATCCTCTAACCTACTAATGATGATGATTTGTCTTTTATTTGGGGTATTTTGCCCATTTATCACTCCATTCTTTGTGATTATCTCCCTCCTCTAGCTGCTGGCCTATGCTGTCCCAGCATGCATCACCTGTTTCCTAGCAACAGTTGGAATAAGGAGCAGCAAACCTCCAATGCCACCATCAGCCAGTGCCGAGAGCTCCGGATCAGAGGCCTTCATACATGGATTAAAACTGGTAACTATGCAGCAGGCAAAAAAAAAAAAAAAAAAAGGAATGTAAATGAACATCGGGTTAAACTTCAAAAAACAAACAAATAAATGTTGCCCAGATGACTTCTTAAGCTAACTCCACCTTAAACTTTGCTCGTCAGTTTTATGGAGTTGGTGAGAATAATGGCCAGGAGGTCAGAGAGCAAGACGTTTGTTTACAGGAGAGACTGGTTTGAAACCAGACTGTCACTCTGGGCCCCTCAGCAAGACCCTTAACTCTTGAATGCACTCTCTGCACCTCTCACGGTACTCCCTAAGGGATTGGATCATTTCTGAAGACAAATTTCCCCAGTGTGGGATTATAAGGGCGGCTCCGACTGCTGTAACGTGGTGCTCTGGGTGACAGTAATAGATTATCTGACCCTCTCAAATTGCATAACCAGGTTCTCTGAGAAGGACAGCCCGCACAGAGCATCATGTCCTGCATATTGACCTGAAAAATCATTGAATCTGTTTCAAATGAAGCTAAAAGGTGGGTCAAACGATGGGTCATTGCTAAAAGATATCTCAAAAACAGAGAATCATGCAAATGTTTGCTGATAAACCTTATAATGTAAAACGAAAACAAAAAAACATTTCTCCCACTGCGTCACTTATCGCTATATTAAGCGACTTCTGTCTCTGGCCATTTTTATTTTCTTTTTATTAAAAATCTAGAAACTATTTTCAGTTTTGTTAAAAAAAAACTTTGTTGGAGACTCAGGTTAAAACATAAAAAGCACTGATCTCAGTGAATTTAGGGTCCTCAGTGAGCAACCCCCTCAAAGCAATGGCAGGTGGTCAGACTCAGCAGTGCACAGTGCCTGCAATCAGAGCAATAAGACTTTTCTTGTGTGCTACTGGAGACTTAGACTCGCTCTGAGCACTTTTTTGCTTTAATATATATTGCGATGTATCAATGTTGTATAAATGCAGTATTATACTGTACATATGGATACTGCAATGATGATTGTGATTTAATATATTCTGCTGCTACTGATAACGAACTTGAAAGCTTTCGCTCTCAACACACCAGTTTCCTGGTAAAATGAACTGAAAAGCTCAGTTTACAACAAAGAATTGACTTTTTTCTCATCATCGGCAAGTACAGCTATGACATCTTTCTTTCAGTCAAAGTCTATAGGAGAGATTGAACACAAAATAGACATTAAACCTGATGCAGGTGAAGATTCTTAGTCATCCATGTCATGGTAATTCCCAAAAAAGTTCAAAAACAATATATACAGCAGCCCAACAAAGCCTTGTTTTTGTTTTGAAAACATGCAAATTGAAATGGACAGACAGGTCCCCCCTTTGGAATGGGGGTCGTTTGGATTCTTTAGTTAGCCTGCAATGCCCCATACCTGTCTGTGTCTCTGAAGGAAGGAAGGAAGGAAGGAAGGAAGGAAGGAAGGAAGGAAGGAAGGAAGGAAGGAAGGAAGGAAGGAAGGAAGGAAGGAAGGAAGGAAGGAAGGAAGGAAGGAAGGAAGGAAGGAAGGAAGGAAGCATCTATGTTAAGAAAGAAAAACCAAACTTAAAGGGGTCATAGAATGATTCTATAGGGTATTTGGTGCTGGTCCTTAAGGTCTCTGAATAGGGTGTGTAACATTGGTTGGGCTGAAAATTTGTTGTTCTCTGAGCCCTAATGCAAGCCTGGTTATAAGCCCTAGAATGAAACGAGAGGTTTTCTTTCTTCTATGGTATGCTCATGAATATTTAGATAAGCTGTGCGCTGATTGGTTGGTGTACAACGAGTGAAGCTGTTGAGAATAGACGCATCATAGCAACAAGCACTCACTCACTCACTGAAACATCGAATTGTTGATATGTTAGGGTGACCAGACATCCTCTTTATTCCCGGACATGTCCTACTTTTCATTAGCTCACAGCTTCTGGTACCACTGCTAGAAACCACTGATTATGGCTAAAATCTTGGTTTCATGATGGAATCAGACCTGGACCTTCAGAAGCAAATTAAGGCAGTTACAAAGTCAGCCTTTTATCAACTGAAGACCTTCTCCAGGATTAAATGATTAATGTCCAAGCAGGATCTAGAAAAACTCATTCATGCATTTATCTTTAGTAGAATTGATCACTGCAACAGTGTCTTCACAGATTTGCCTAAAAAGTCCATGAGACAGTTGCAGCTGATCCAAAGCACTGCTACCAGTGTTCTCACTAGAACTAAGAAAGTAGAGCACACCCGCCCGGTTCTGAAGTCTCTCCACTGGCTCCCTGTAGCTCAGAGAATAGACTTTAAATCTATTAGTCTATAAATCCCTGAATGGATCAGCACCTCAAAACATAACAGATTTGTTGTCAATGCATCAACCTCCCAGATCAATCAGGTCTTCTAGTTCCAGCCTACTCTGTTCACCCGGAACTAGAACCAAACATGGAGAAGCAGCATTTAGTTCCTAAACTCCACTTATCTGGAACAAACTCCCAGTAGACTGTAAACGTGCTGAAAGCCTGAGTTCCTTTAAGTTAAAGTTAAAAATCCATGTTTTACACCTGCCTTTGAATGTCGAAGTTAACTGTTAACTAAGGTATTATTAGTTTAACGTTGTGGTCCAACTCTTTTACCTGCTTTTATCATGTTATCTTTATTTGCTTTTACTCTGCTTTTATTTTTCTTCAATTTTATTGTTTAATTCAAGTGAAGCACTGTTGTGGAACTTTAATATATTTATTACCCACCCTAGTAGGGGTGGTAAATATATGTATTAGATAATATACAGACTGTCATATATTGTTTGTTATCACACACCCTACTTGCTGTGTTAGAACAAATGAAAGTGTGAATCAAAGCTCAAATTATGGTCAAACAGATACCATGTGGTTCAACCTTTTAGCTTTGTCTTTACCCCAGGCTCACACTGACTCCGGTCTTACCGTTGCGGTGCGGTGGGTGCGGCGCCGCAGTGATTCCAAGTCATTAAAAAGACGTAAACCTCTCTCACCGGCTGCTGAGCTGTCCGGCTGCGGTTACCGAGACACTCCGGCGCTGCAGAAAATTCCGCAAGAAAGCTATCCTTGCGGCGTGCCGGAGCCCTCCGCAACAAGCTCTCGCAAAAATCCTTTATTTGGGCCGTGTTATCGCGTGAAGTTACGTGAACTCAAGTGAACTTCTGTTAAATCTCCGGACCTGTTGCCGGAGCCGCAGAGCCGCACCGCACCGTAGTCAAAAGGGCGGTGTGAGAGGGGGTGTGCGGGAGTTGCGGTCTCCGTCGGCTCGGTAACTGCACCGGAGCCAGTGTGAGCAAGGGGTTACTCAGCAGTAAACACAAGATACAATCAAAATCCTCAAAAAAACAGAGAATATGTCCCTAAGTGTGCCAGACCTGTAGGCTTTGGTTTTCTCTAGTATTTAGTGTTAGCAGCTTAGCGTAGCAGGCCCACACAGGTCGAGTTGATTGTCCCAGACAGGCACAGTATTCAGAATTCCCCCACTTTCCTTAGCTGGTCCTTGGCTGGTTGTTAGCTGGTCCTTGGCTGTTCATTAACTGGTTGTTAGCTGGTCCTTGGCTGGTTGTTAGCTGGTCATAGGCAGGTCGTTAGCTGGCCCTTAGCTGGTTGTTAGCTGGTCATAGGCAGGTCGTTAGCTGGCCCTTAGCTCGTTGTTAGCTGGTCATAGGCAGGTCATTAGCTGGTCCTTAGCTGGTCATTAGCTGGTTGTTAGCTGGTCCTTGGCTGGTTGTTAGCTGGTCATAGGCAGGACCTTAGCTGGTCCTTAGCTGGTCATTAGCTGGTTGTTAGCTGGTCCTTGGCTGGTTGTTAGCTGGTCATAGGCAGGTCGTTAGCTGGTCCTTAGCTGGTTGTTAGCTGGTCCTTGGCTGGTTGTTAGCTGGTCATAGGCAGGTCGTTAGCTGGTCCTTAGCTGGTCATTAGCTGGTTGTTAGCTGGTCCTTAGCTGGTCATTAGCTGGTTATTAGCTGGTCCTTGGCTTGTTGTTAGCAGGTCATAGGCAGGTCGTTAGCTGGTCCTTAGCTGGTCAGTAGCTGGTTGTTAGCTGGTCCTTGGCTTGTTGTTAGCTGGTCATAGGCAGGTCGTTAGCTGGTCCTTAGCTGGTCAGTAGCTGGTTGTTAGCTGGTCCTTGGCTGGTTGTTAGCTGGTCATAGGCAGGTCGTTAGCTGGTCCTTAGCTGGTCATTAGCTGGTTGTTAGCTGGTCATTAGCTGGTTGTTAGCTGGTCATTTGCTGGTTGTTAGCTGGTCATAGGCAGGTCGTTAGCTGGTCCTTGGTCATTAGCTGGTTGTTAGCTGGTCCTTAGCTGGTCCTTAGCTGGTCATTAGCTGGTTGTTAGCTGGTCCTTGGCTGGTTGTTAGCTGGTCATAGGCAGGTCGTTAGCTGGTCCTTAGCTGGTCATTAGCTGGTTGTTAGCTGGTCCTTAGCTGGTCATTAGCTGGTTGTTAGCTGGTCCTTGGCTGGTTGTTAGGTGGTCCTAGGCAGGTCGTTCGCTGGTCCTTGGCTGGTCGTTAGGTGGTCCTTGGCTGGTCATTAGCTGGTTGTTAGCTGGTCCTTGGCTGGTTGTTAGCTGGTCCTTGGCAGGTCATTAGCTGGTTGTTAGCTGGTCCTTGGCTGGATGTTAGCTGGTCCTTGGCAGGTCGTTAGCTGGTTGTTAGCTGGTCCTTGGCTGGTTGTTAGCTGGTCCTTGGCAGGTCGTTAGCTGGTTGTTAGCTGGTCCTTGGCAGGTCATTAGCTGGTTGATAGCTGGTCCTTGGCAGGTCATTAGCTGGTTGTTAGCTGGTCCTTGGCAGGTCATTAGCTGGTTGTTAGCTGGTCCTTGGCTGGTCGTTAGCTGGTTGTTAGCTGATCCTTGGCAGGTCATTAGCTGGTTGTTAGCTGGTCCTTGGCAGGTCATTAGCTGGTTGTTAGCTGGTCCTTGGCTGGTCGTTAGCTGGTCTTTGGCTGGTCGTTAGCTGGTTGTTAGCTGATCCTTGGCTGCACCTTAGCTGGTCCCCTACAATGCCTTTTCAAACATAAATATTTGTACTAAAATACTCTTTCTGTCATGATTTGGGGACATTAAGATGTAAAGAGAAGCCCCATCTCCTAGTCAGATACTGTAATTCAGTGAAAGGTTGGAGTTGGAATAAACAAAGATGCACACCCAGTAGAAGAAGGGCGTCACTTCAGTGGCTGGAAGTTGGAGGAGATTCTGCTTGGAGTTGCAGGGAAGTGGGCTGCCATTCGGCCTGAGTTTGACTGGGAAGGGCCATTTTTAATGGCTGCTACTGTACATATCAGGGAAGTGCTTCCTCTGCTCCTAAGTCTCCCACCACCAGTCATATGAAAGTTCTGAAACTCAGAGAAAATGTTGCAAACAGTCTCTTTTTTTTCCAGCAAGTTGGTTTTTAAGTTAGCCATTGGCTTCTGGTCAATCTGCAGTCTCTGGTCTCTGGACATGGGCCATGGTGTTGCCATACTGTACGTATGTGCTGGGAAACTGTCTTGGGGGAAGGGGGTCTGTAACATCTAGATTTGGCCATCAATGTCCAAAATTCATAGGTAATTCGCTAGGTTATTCTCCCTCTATCTTAGGTTGCTGTTGTCCTGCTCTGTTTCTATCCTGATGGCCTGTCTGACCTTTATCCTTCTGCTGTGCTTCCTCTGCAGTTACTAAAGAACAGAGCCTACCTCATCCTTCTGCTGTGCTTCGGCTCAGGCATAGCCATCTTTACCTGCTTCTCTACGCTGCTGGAGCAGATCCTGTGTGTGAAAGGATACAGCAACGTATGTACAAGACCTCACCTGCTTTTATGTCTTGGGAACTATTTATAACAGTAGACCTTTAACTGATGAGTGCGTCATGTAATGCCACATTCACTGATTCCATCTTGTATTTAACTAGAGAAATCTTCCCTGTTGATTCTGACCAGCCTCAGCATTCATGCTAATTAAAGCCTTCATGAAACCACCACCGTGAGGATGGTGTGTTTAGGGTTGTGGTATTTTAGCCACACAGTCATAGAGAATTAACGCCAAAAAATGATGTTACATACATGTACATGCTGCACTCTCCACTAATTTGTGGCTAATTTGAGCAAATTGTTAAAAAGTTGAACATATTAACCCCTTGAACTCCATTGTAGCAAATATGCAACAAACTCCTTTGAGTTATGAACACAGCCAAGAATGCTTTCTCAGCAACAGTTTTTACACATTTAGTGTGGACCTAGGAACCTTTGTCAAGCTCCAGTTTCTGTTACAACTGGTTCCTAACGGTATATATTATAAATGTTGTAACGAATTTATAATATTCCTACATTTCTATTTATTTTTAAAAATACTAAGAAAGTTTCAAATTTAATTTGTTAAAGTTAAGTTAAAAAAAAACTTTTTTATCTAAATATATAAACATGTATATAAATCCAGTCATCAATGGGTTGAAATGCTTTGGCATGTAAGCGATATCTAGCAATACTGTTAGGTTCAGTGAACTCTGACCTCTGCAGGACTTTGCCGGTCTCTGCGGTGCCCTCTTCATCGTCTTCGGCATCGTTGGTGCCGGCATCGTTGGCGTCTATGTGGACAAGACGAGGAGGTTCACCGAGGTCACAAAGATGGGCCTGAGCCTCTCCACTCTGTCGTGCATCGCCTTCTCAGTGGTGAGAAAATGAAAAGAGCAGTTTGGAAAGAGATCCTGGTAGAGCTGATTCAGTTCAGATATTTCCTTGTCCTTTTTAACCTCAGGTGTGTCTGATGCCTGATCAGAAGGTTGCAGTTGCAGCTGTCTGTTCTCTCTTTGGCTTTTTTGGCTTCGCCATCTACCCAGTGGCTATGGAGCTGTCTGTGGAGTGTTCGTATCCGGTCGGGGAGGCCACCTCAGCTGGACTCATCTTTGTTTCAGGGTATCACTGCCTGACATGCACCTAAACACCTCAACAGGATTTCTAAGGCTGATGTCTAAATCAGTTCATCAGTCTAACTGATCCCCGATATGTATAGTTTTTTTCTTCCTTCATTAACATGATAAAAAAGGCACTGATAACCCATCTGTTGGAGACGTCTCAGTATAAACGACTCAGTATAAACAGAAAAGGGACCTTTAAAAACATCAACAAAGTAGGAGGCACTAGTGAATTGGCAAATACCAGTAAACGCGCTGAAATTAAAAAATAATAAGATCTGAAAAGACTTTGTAAAAATACATTCTTACTTAAAAAACGTCTATCCAGAAGAATAAAAATCCATTAGAAATTGAACAACAGAGCTTTCTTGGATGGAGTTCCTGTCCCAACACATTTTAATTTTACATAGAAACAGAAATCAGAATTTGTTTCTCTTATTATTTATTGTATATAAAAAGTGTTTTATTTTATAAAGTCTTTAATTTCTCAAAAAACAGAATTGATTTTAACTTGTTTCTTTTTAAGTCACAAATATACTTTATTGATCCCAAAGGGAATGAAATGCTGCAACTCATAGGGATTATTTTCACCAAGTAACTTTAGATATCAATAGCTATAGCCAGGAAGGGTCTCCTGTAGCTGTCTGTCCTTCAAATGATACAAAACTGCACATCATCAGGTTTATTATTTATTCACTCTTGAATTACCTGCTGTAAGTGTTGTAATTCTGTGAATTGACTCATTTCTCAAACATTTTGTTCTTGCAGGCAAATTCAGTCTGCTGTTTACATCATCCTGCTTCAGGCTTTGACCAAACCGCTCACTGAAGCTCCTCTATCCACCTGTGGAGATGCAGTCCTGAGCTGGAAAGGTTGGTCACATGAATCAATCTATCTATCTATCTATCTATCTATCTATCTATCTATCTATCTATCTGTCTGTCTGTCTGTCTGTCTGTCTGTCTGTCTGTCTGTCTGTCTGTCTGTCTGTCTGTCTGTCTCTGTCTATACAGGTGCTGGTCATAAAATTAGAATATCATGAAAAAGTAGATTGATTTCAGTAATTCCATTTAAAAAGTGAAACTTGTATATTATATTCATACATTACATACAAACTCATATATTTCAGATGTTTATTTTGTTTAATTTTGATGATTACAAATGACAACAAATGAAAATCTCAAATTCATCATATCAGAAAATTAGAATATTACTGAAGACCAATAAAAACAAAGGATTTATAGAAATGTTGGCCAACTGAAAAGTATGAACATGAAAAGTATGAGCATGTACAGCACTCAGTATTTAGTTGGGCCTCTTTTGGCCTGTATTACTGCAGCAATGCGGCGTGGCATGGAGTCGATCAGTCTGTGGCACTGCTCAGGTGTTATGATAGCCCAGGTTGCTCTAATAGTGGCTTTTAGCTCTTCTGAATTGTTGGGTCTGGTGTATTGCATCTTCTTCTTCACAATACCCCATAGATTTTCTATGGGGTTAAGGTCAGGAGAGTTTGCTGGCCAATTAAGAACAGGGATACCATGGTCCTTCAACCAGGTACTGGTAGCTTTGGCACTGTGTGCAGGTGCCAATTCCTGTTGGAAAATGAAATCTGCATCTCCAAAAAGTTGGTCAGCTGCAGAAGTGCTCTAAAACTTCCTGGTATGTGGCTGCGTTGACCCTGGACCTCAGAAAACACAATGGACCAACACCAGCAGATGACATGGCACCCCAAACCATCACTGACTGTGGAAACTTTACACTGGACTTCAAGCAACGTGGATGAAGTGCCTCTCTTCTTTTCCTCCAGACTCTGGGACCTTGATTTCCAAAGGAAATGCAAAATTTACTTTCATCAGAGAACATGACTTTGGACCACTCACCAGCAGTCCAGTCCTGTTTCTCTTTAGCCCAGGCAAGACGCTTCTGACGCTGTCTGTGGTTCAAGAGTGGCTTGACACAAGGAATGCGACAGCAGAAACCCATGTCTTTCATACGTCTGTGTGTGGTGGTTCTTGAAGCACTCACTCCAGCTGCAGTCCACTCTTTGTGAATCTCCCCCACATTTTTGAAGGGGTTTTGTTTCACAATCCTCTCCAGGGTGCGGTTATCTCTCTTGCTTGTACACTTTTTTCGACCACATCTTTTCCTTCCCTTCGCCTCTCTATTAATGTGCTTGGACACTGAGCTCTGTGAACAGCCAGCCTCTTTAGCGATGACCTTTTGTGTCTTGCCCTCCTTGTGCAAGGTGTCGATGGTCGTCTTTTGGACAACTGTCAAGTCAGCAGTCTTCCCCATGATTGTGTAGCCTATAGAACTAGACTGAAAGACCATTTAAAGGCTTTTGCAGGTGGTTTGAGTTAATTAGCTGATTAGAGTGTGGCACCAGGGGCCATCAATTTTGAACCTTTTCACAATATTCTAATTTTCTGATATGATGAATTTGAGATTTTCATTTGTTGTCATTTGTAATCATCAAAATTAAACAAAATAAACATCTGAAATATATGAGTTTGTATGTAATGTATGAATATAATATACAAGTTTCACTTTTTAAATGGAATTACTGAAATCAATCTACTTTTTCATGATATTCTAATTTTTTTACATTTCTTTGTACAAGACGTGATTTTACTGTGAAGGATGTATTGTTTTATCTGTGTGCCATAGATTTTTGTATTTTATTTTATTTATTCATATTTTTCAGTTGAAAAATGCAGATAAGAGCCATTAGAGAGAATACAACTCATTTGATTTTTCGTTTTTTTTATTTCTCCAATTGAAAGCAGTGATTGGTAGGATCATTTTCAGTTTATAATGCATGCACTTTCTTTATTCATCATGTGTTTATCTTAATAAGTTTATTGATATAATAAAAATTTATTAATAATGTTGATATTAATATTTTGTTTTTAAAAAAACAATGTGTTAGGTCTTGGTTCAATAGGCTATGTTCAAATCAATATGTTTTAATAAACATTTAACCAGTCCAGCCCTCAGCTTGTAACAAATTTGCTTTTTTGGCCCTCCGTGTATTTGACTTTGACATCCCTGCTCTAGATGTTCTTTAAACGTATTTTTATTGGAAAATTGATCATCGGAAGAAAACAATATAGCCATGAGTTTTAAAAGTGCTTCCATTAAAAAAATCTACTGTTGTTCGTTTGACTTCCAAATGGCCCAATGAGCACAGCCGATAGAATTAAAATAACAAAGCTGCTGTAGAAACAAGAAGTCTCACTTCAACATAAACTGTAAGGGTCGGTCTCTTTAGCTCATTTTGTTTAAAATAATTCAGTTCTTTATTCAGTCCTGTTAATCACAATGTTTAGCATAGGTAGAAGTTCTACTCAACATTTGCAATACTCCATAATAATATTAAAGTTAAAAGTACAGTGCAGTAAAACTACTCATAAGTGTATTTTTTTAAATTGCTACTCAAACGAGTATAGCTAGTTACTGCCCACCTCTGCAGAGACGGGATTGAAATATCATCTTCCAGCAGAATTGGTCTGCCAAGATTCTGAAAGCTCAGCGGAGATTATTGTTGAACACATGTTTTGCAGATATCAGGTGTTGTTTGTCTAACAGATACCTGATAAATAAGAACACACTGAATGTGCATGTAAGAATAAATTTAAGCCACTTAAGCCTATTTTTTTCCTTGCTTGATTAAAATCTGAAGTAAAATGTGCTGAAAGTGTGCTCTTCCTCTCCTCAGTGCCCATGATGGTGATGGCAGGGCTGTCCACCATTTTCACCTGCTGCTTCCTCATCTTCTTCAACACACGTTACAGAAGGCTGGAGGCGGAGGAACAAGCTGCTTATGAGACCAGAGAGAACAGCACCAGCACCACCTATGAAGTAGTGGGGACCTGAAGGGGCTCAGTGGGTCCAATCCCTATATGAAGTTTAATGGCTGTTGAATCAGCTCATAATGCGCACTATCATTCTTTAAAAATACTTCAGGGATTCTTTAGACAGTACCTGCGATAACTTATTTATGTTTTCTCTTACATGAAAGGAGGATATATAATCATAGATTTCCTGCACCATTAAGCTAATCATAGAGAGGACATTTTAGTTATAGTCACCCCTAATTAAATGCTTAAAAAGTGTTAAATATGTTCAGTGATTAAATCCCTACTGGCACAGTACTGTCCTTTTTTAATGTTCTCTTAATACTGGATTAAAGCCCCATCATAGTCTGCATGATGGGGCAGTTTGCATTCGACTGCAGCCTGAAAAACATGATTGCACTCAGTGTAACCTACCTATGCACAATTTGGAGTTGTGTGCACGTCATTAGCTGGGAGTCCAGCAGATAGCGATATCTAGGTGCAAAGGGCTTCTTTGGCAAAATTCTTGGGGTTCCAGTCAGATTAGGAGCAGAAAACAACGGGCATATCTACTGCAGCTCTAGATTTAAAATCTGGGATTTAAGGCTGGTTTATACTTATGCCCCTTACATTTTTCCACTTCCTCACTGTCATATCTAGACCCACAGCTATTTTGTGACTGTCTTTCGTTGTGGTGTGGAATAACATAGCGCAGACCACGCTTCAATGTCGGGTTTAAATCAAAAAAATATCTGCAACAAGCTCACTGCGACACACTGCTGCAGGAGGATAACCGACCCTTTAGGCAGCCGCTGAGATGTGACTGCAATGATGCTGCAGCCCTAAGATGTGTCCAATCCTCCTTCAAATTTCCCAACCACTCAAGCTTCAATATTCTTGATATACCTCATAAGACCCTGCATAGACCATACAGGGTGTGGGTACTTTTTTTCATGTTGTGCGGCTTTAGTCTGGTGGGAACAAAGCTTTTGCTAATAATTCTTAAAGGTACCATATTAGATGTTTGAGCAGGAAAACCCTCACCATGTTTACTGACAGAGGGAGCTTAGGTACTTTTCTGAATGGACAAAAATACATAAGTAATTATGCACTGAAGTAGAATGAAAAAAACAACAACAAAATGGAACAACACCATTTGCCGCTTTTGGCTCGATCCGCATACCTCAGATCATTAAGGACATAAGTCAGCATAATAAGTAAATTATTATGTAAAGAAATGCATAATTTCTTCACATGAATTGTGTGTTTTGGGAGAGTACTGAATGCTTTAGGTGAGCTTCATCTGTTCACTGTATTTGTGCAACTTAATTTTTTTGTAGTTCTTTTTCAGAACGCTGTAGTCCAAATCTGACCAGTGTCTTTCATGTATGTGTGCCTTATAATGATGTCTGTAAGGCTTAAAACTGTTTGGATTCTGAACAGCATTCCAGAGCATCGTGGTTCTCCTGGATAGTCTTTTTACTGTTGATCTTGTGAAAGGTGAAGGGATAGGCGCTAGGAACAGGAGCTAGGAGCTACAATTTGACGTACAGTATTCTGATGAAGCCTTTGAAACCACCTGGGTTGTTGCACTGATCTAAACCTAACCAGGATCCAAAATCCCTCTGAAGTAAAAGTGTTTTTCTAACTGAAGGATCTCAGATAAAATTATGAAAACATATTACATTTTTTTTTAAAAACGTTTAACGTTAGGATAAATCTTTAGAGCTTCGGTTGGGGAGCATCATGGTGAGCAGAATTTCATACCTAACGAACCTTTATTTCATTTGCCAAACTATTAAATATTAAAATGTAAAATTAGAGAATTGTTTCTACAACTGTGTATTTTTTTTACTTCTAATGACTAAATAAAAGTTTATGTAATTTAAGTGGTTTCTTTGTCATTTCTCTGGAGCATACTCCTCAATGCTGGATAAATAAAGGCTACAGTCCACAAGGTTTTCCTAGGGGATGAACACATCTAATTCCAACACAGATAAACTGCTTGATTTATTTTATCATTTAGAGACCGAAACCTGAAATTGTAGCGTGACTATTTCATAACAAGGACAATCTCTGGACTTTAAGATTCCTTGTTTTGAGGAAGAGCTTTGAAAAGGATTATAGCTGTTTGTCTGTGAGTCTAGTTTTCAAACATGCATCGTTGTTATGAGATTAAATTCAGTTTTTTCTACAACAATTCCACCAAAAACTTTGCCATAGCTTCAAATAAAGAACCTCACCAATGTTAACATTGTAATACAGCGTATAACCACATGGTGGCACCACTTACCTTATTGTCAGTCAACCACTTTTTTTGGTTTAATTCTTTATGGATATTTCTGTGTTCACAAGGACTATGTAGTGAATTTTCATCCATTATTGTTACAAGCAAACAATGCATTTTTATAACTGGAAATTTGGGGGGAAAATGCAACCCAGAAATAAAAAATAAACAAAAACATCTTAATCAAAAGAAGGACTGAGAGAAAATTTGCTGTTTTCTCATTTTCTTTTTAAAAAATGCGTTTTATCGATTGCTCTTTTACGGTGGCCGGCAGGAAGCACTGAAAATAACAATGAAATGAGAGGCATACAGGTGAAAACGTGCAGCAAACGGCGAAATGAGCTGCAAACACACATATGAAAAACAATGTCAAAAAAGAAATGCAACAGAAAATCAATGCAAACAAAAACTGCTGTACTCTCTAAAAATAGATAAACCAGACTAAATGTGAGATTAAATTCAATTTAATCTGGTACCGATGAGACATCAGAAGATTGTTGATTAGAACAACCCGTTGTTTTAAACCATGTCTGTGCCTATTGGCCAACGCTCTGACCAATTAGCGCAACTGACTGTGACGTAGGAAGCGTGACAGAAAGCTGTTGGGGAAGTGTAAACGAACAGCCTGTCGGTAAAACGGTGAATACGTCCTTCTTAAAAATGAATGAGCGTAGAGTCTATTCCTGCTCACGCTTCAAAACTGATTCCGAAGCTGAGTCAAATGAGAACTGTTCAATGGTTGTTGCCATCTTCCCTGTTGTGCTTTCTCCAGAGTCTTGCAGCTTTGTCGTCACGCCCTCAAAACCCTGCATCCAGAAATTCAAGACACATCTCTGTGTTGTGATTGGCCCGCCAGTTCTAGGGCCTGGGGCATTTTGGCCGCTGGCAGTTGGGGCTAGTTTACTAGGCTAGCAAAAACCTCTAGTAATCAACAAAACAAATGCAAACAAAAAAAAAAAAAATGCAGCAACTAAAAACAACATTTTGCAACCAAAAACAAAGTGTTAAACAACGTGTGTTTAAAAACCGCTGCAGACTCGCTCTAAAAAAATCTGGAGGAAGTTAAACAAAGAACAACTTAATTGGATCAAACCCTCAGCACAAACAGGAAGTTATCTTCAATGCAGACATAACATTTTTTAAAGGTGGAAGATGACAGGAGAGGTTTGTTATCTTTAATTTCATGTCAAACACATGGTCTTACAGTGTTACAGAATAGCAGCATAGTTATGTATAGCAATATAAGTAACAATCTGGTCTGATAGGGTTAGTTCTTTGTTTGACTCCCTCTTGTGGTTTGGAGCATTTCCGTTTTTTAGAGCAAGTTTGCAACTATTTTCAATATTTGCATAATTTTCTTTCTGTGATCATAGCATTATGTTTTTGCCTGCAGCATAGTTTTTTGTGTTTGCTGCATCTTTTGTTTGCAATGTTTTGTGGTTGCATTCCTTTTTTTTTGCTTTTGTGTATTTTGGATTTTGCATCATATGTGTGTTAACAGCTCATTTCCCATTTGCTGAATGTTTTTCATCTGTTTACAGCTCATTTGTTTGTTGGTTTTTTTTGCAACGTTTTTCTTTTGTGTTTGTTTTTTGAGCGTGTGTGTTTTGGAGTCACAACACTGTTTTTGCTGTTCAATTCATCGTTTACTGTGCATTGGCACCTGTCAGCCACCGTACTCTTGACATGCACATTAACCAATAAAAATGTTGGTCCAAATAGAAGGATTTGTATGAATCTCTCCTCCTGGATGGGCATGTGGCGAGAGTAGACATTGGCTTGCATTGTGTCCTGGACACTACAGCAATCCCTTATGAGTATGCATGCAGTAACAGTGGAGAGGAAAAACTCCCTTTTAACAGGAAGAAAGCTCTGGCAGAACCAAGCTCAATGTAAGCGGCCTTCTGCTGAGGCCTACTGTAGAAGCAAGCAGACACACAGGATTAAAGAAGTAATAATAAGTAAATACTTTCTCTGTTAGGGAAGTTAATAGTAAACTACTGTAGCTTTGTAGGATGCTTTGTCTAGGAAAGGAACAATTAAGCCTTGAGCCAGTTTTTGTGCCTAAAGGGATGAAAGAGAGCACATACAGTTAGATACAGTAAAATCTGAGCCCATAACTATATGTAGGAGAGAAACAGGACTAAACACAGAAAAACAGGCCTAACTCTATATTCTTCAATTGAAGGTTTTGATGGCAGAAGCCCAGGTGATGTTTCTCTCCAGGACGGATACACAGGAAAACAACCAGACCAGATAAAGTCTATTGCTGGGCACACACTGTATGATTTTTTGCCCTTTTCGGGCAGATTTTCCAGTCGTGCAAGAATTTTTTGATCGGACCATGTTTCAGCCTCATCGTGCGTCCTGTGTCATGTAGTACACAGGAGGTAACGAGGGGCAAGTAGTTTTTAACGACCACCTACCGATCAGGAATTGTAAGGACCGGAGAAAATCAAACAGGTTTGAAATTCAGTCGGCCCTTGTGTTCGTGGCAAACCTTGCTGTTGAAGCAGAGCCACAAGCGTCTACAAGCCGATTTACCAGAACCTCAAGCATTCTGACCAGCTGTCTCACCGTGTTATGTGCACCAACGCTACATTATTGCTGGTGACTTATTTGTCTAGACTCAGGGGGCATAACTGTCAGACCTCTGGTGTTGCTGAGAACACTCAGACACAACTTTCATTACCCTGCTAAAGGTGAGTTCAATCTGAAAAACTCACACAAAGAGAAAAGACAATTAGAAGAAATGTATTGATACAATTACTTTGTCTTTGGCGCTCAGACCTCGGCAGGAAACATAACGCTGAATTTTGATAGATATGCATGAACAGCAGCAAAGAATAGGGCTGTTTCCCCCCAGGCCTGAAACTGGTGGTGGAGTGGAGACAGATGAAGTTGGTCAGTCTGTAGACTGCTGGTAGTGAGACGGTATGCTGAGCTTTATGGGGAGATCCAGTGGACTGCGTGAGCTAATACTAGAGCTTCAGGGACCTGGAAGATGGAAGTCCAGCTTTGATAACACAGGTTGGGGGAACCTGTCCATGTTGAGCAAGCATGAAGCGACAGTGGAGAGGAAAAACTCCCCATTTAGAAGAAACCTCTGGCAGAACCCGGCCTTAACATGGCGGTGGGCGATCTTCTGCTGGACCGGTTGAAATGAGATGCAGAATGCAGAAAGAGTCCTGAGTAATGAGCTCTGACGAGGTTTTAGCTAAGATGATGGAGGAGGGGCTGGAGGTGGGTTGAAACGGTGTGATCTGAAGGAAATCACAAAGCGCAACCACCACCTGTGCACCAGGCAGCAGATAAGTTGCAGATC